GGCCATAACTCGCGCACTTTACATATTTTTCACTTGATTTCTTAAAGCAAATTGTAGCTGAGGGTCCAAAAAACAAATTTCATCTCCCATTTTGCCCAAAAGGTCACACCTAGTCGGTTGCTAGGGTTGAAATGTATGAAAAAGGGTCAACTTTTTCAGTTTCTCGGCCATAACTCGTGCACTCTGTCTTTCGGTCTCTACTAAATTGTAAATTTTTAACTACCAACAGGGACTTGTTAGATTAGACGTAAAACTTTTCTTCAATATATCACTTCTTTGATAAATTGATTGATGACTTTTGCGGTCATAAGGCCAAAACTACAATGTTAACGCTTCCACTGGCCTTTCATTTTGGATATTTAGGTTAGGCTTTGTTGAATCGTTTACACTTCGGCTTCCTATCATTTCCATGTATAGGTTAGGTTATTTTGTGTTAAAATGTTTATAGACCAAATACTTATTCCAATCAAGAAAGGCTTCTACTATAATTATCACACACTATGTACAAACACGAAAAGATCAGGTTTTTCACTTCGGCTTCCTATCATTTCCATGTATAGGTTAGGTTATTTTGTGTTAAAATGTTTATAGACCAAATACTTATTCCAATCAAGAAAGGCTTCTACTATAATTATCACACACTATGTACAAACATGATCTCAAGAATATAAACTCTTATTAATAGAGTAACTCTTGGAGTCGTTTCCCTGCAAACAAAGTATTCAGCCAGTTTTTGGCGGTGTAAATAAATAAATAAATAAATAAATTTCTTGGATAAAATTGTAGCTGAGAGTCTAAAAACAAATTGCATCTCCCATTTTACCCAAAAGGTCACACCTAGTCGGTTGCTAGGGTTGAAATGTATGAAAAAGGGTCAACTTTTTAGATGAATATTCAAATCTTGGCAAATTTGCCGAAATGACTTCGGGTAGGGCGATTTCAATTGTAGATTTTATGTACTTTAATGTAGTGTTTTTACTTTTTTTATGTAGGAACAATTTTTTTGAGCAATCGGCTATCGAAAAACTGCTATAAAATGGGACAACTCAAATCTTGGTCAAAAACGTATTTTCCACAAATCGAATTTTTTTTCGAATGAAGAATGGTTCCAAAAAATTGTAGATAAATTGTAGAATTCAAATCAATTGTCTGTTTTCAAATATGTCTGCCCGTTCGTTCGATATCGGGACGAGTCTTGAAAATTGGTCCAAAATCGGTAATACTCAAATCTTGGCCACAAATTGAAATTTCCACAAACTGAATCTTCCTCTTTTGATGCTAGGTTCCATAAAATTGTAGAAAAAATGTAGAATTCAAATCAGTCATCCGATCCTTGATGTTTTCAACAACTTATTTGGCTCCAGGGGAGTTTAATATTTAATATGGGAATAAAACTGCTATAAATTGCTATAAAACGTGTTTTAATAACCAAGAATTAATTGTAGTGGCCCGAAAATAATTGTAGAAGCAACTACAGTTATTGTAGTGGTGGAACTTTTTCCGTTTTTCGGCCATAACTCGCGCACTATTTCTTTTTTCATTTGATTTCTTGGAGGAAATTGTAGCTGAGAGTCTAAAAAACAAATTGTATCTCCCATTCGCTGCCAAAAGGTCACACCTAATGAAAACGATTGCAAGTAACGTTCGTCTTTGACGTTTGGAGTGTAAATCTCCATGATGGAATTATTATTCAATTAAAAATTTCATGAATCATTAGAAGTTCAACAAAAATTTAATTCCCTAACTTAAACTTTGTCATTTGTTTGTTGTTTAGGTGTTACATTAATTCTTTTTTACTTATTTTAATGAAACAC